ATTCGCTGCGGGTATGCACAAGAAACAACGCTGCATATATTGCAATATCGTGGATGGCTGGACCGTTTGTGGGAAGCTCATTCGTTCTCCTTAAATCTCGTTCCACCATCCTCATCCTCCTGGATGTGGTTTGAACATATTCAAAATCACTTTACCGCTGTCCACCTGCCATTGGCGCTCGTCATTTCCTAGAAATCTTGAAGCGTCCATAATAGTTACCTTCATGGCGGAGACATAGCTTACCAATCGGATAACTTACACTAGTAGAAAATTTACTTTTTACTACGAATTTGTTTGCTCTGGTAAAAAACAATAATAAAAGGTAACTTTTATTGCGGAAAATTTTTGAAGTCTTAGTAAATACTAGGATTTACCGTAGCAAAAAAGTAATTGGTACGGCCATTAACCGTAGCAATGTTTTTGTCACGCCCGTATATTCTACGGGGCAAATTCGTAGCAAATGCGTACCAAAAGTCTTTTTACTACGAATTTGATACCTTTTGCTGTGGTTAATGGTCGTAGTAAAAAGCCATTTTTCTACCAGTGTTAGAATGGAGCCAACGGTATCTTGAGGAATACAATACCGACAAGTTTAAACCGCTTTTTGGTCGTACACATGAGCTCCCACGTGTTTGTATCTCTCCACCGGTTGGCACAATTTGGGTAAGAAGCATTACATCATTTCCATGGTCGTGTAGGATTGGCATACAGTGGCGGAATGTGAATCTCACGCAACCTTCTTTGCTTCGCAGTGGGTCACTTGTTTGAAGTTTGATTATTGTCAGGGAGGATTGCATATATGTCATCAACGCACTCAACTCAGGAACTAACTTGGAATCGTCATTCGGAACCTGAGTGGAGGAGAGTCTTTCCCTAGCATCCTCGTTTAATTTTGTGCATCTTCTTTTTTGTCAAACGTTGTGGTAATCTGTTGGCACATTATTTTTCCACTCATTTCCTTTCTTCTTGTAATAAAGGGGATTCTCTTCCTCTTGACTTGACTCTTTCGTCCTGAATAAAGTCTGTGTGATACAGAAAAATAGGTTATACCTAACTAGGTTTTACATTCTTAGATGTACAACACATCATAATCAACAACAAATTGATTTTTTTTTCCTTATTTCCTAAAGTAATTGAAGTATATTACACATTCTTAATGTGACTTACACCATGATAAATTGACACGCTTTGAGCACTGATATGGACCAAATCAAATTATTCAATGAGGGTTCATTAAAATCTTTTTTTGTAAAACTCCCTTTGAGTTGGCTATTAACAAAACCAACTAAGCAAAAATATATATATATATTTTAAGTTTGAGAAATTATGATGCTCGATTAGAGTTCGAACTCGATTAGGAAAAAAAAAGTTCAAACAACATTAAGCTAATCGATCTTGATTCATGTTCTGCTCAATTAGAACTCGTTCGAGCTCTATTCAATTATTATCAAATTAAACTAAAAACCAACTCTGTAAGTTTTATGGGAAAAGATACAAAGACATTAATTTTTTTTAATTTTTAAGATTTCCTTTAAACAAGTTTTATAAATATGTCATGCCATCAAAATAACAAGCTTTTAATGTGGTAATAGGTGGGTAATTTAATACTCCCTCTGTCCCATATTATATGTCTTTTTAGAGAGTTTTTTTTGTCCCAAATTATTTGTCATTTTATATTTTCAATGCATCATTAATTACACTATTTTCAATTTTACCCTTTATCACTCCTAATTAGTTAGTTGTAAAACAATTAATGTCAAGGATATATTAGTATTTTCCTATACTTTTTACTATAATCTATACACATTTATTGATTTTCTTAATATGTGTGCAACAACCCAAAACGTCACTTAAATTGGGACGGAGGGAGTAGTAAATAGGGTGGGTAACCTACCGTGTGTTAAATGCACCTACAATAATTTTTTATTATTCATTGACACACACAGACACAAATAAAAGTTAGCGTGTTGATATAATGAACTGTAAAATGTGAATTCACCCAAATGGACACTCATCGGACATATATAGCATAGCTTTGAATGTTGTGGGTTTTAATTTCAAATACCTATACACAATAGTTAACTACAACTACTCTCGAATTAAGGAGCTAGTTATTTATTTATTGAACATGACGACTAAATTATAAAGGGGCTCTTTGAAGAAACCCCCTCATTACTGCTTTTAATGGAGAGAGGCCCAAAATAATTCTCTTCATTTGAGAAAAGTCCACACCCATTTTCAGCCATTATATTTTTCATCTTTGCCCCCACCCGCCACATCATCACTGTGTCACGCGCTCAGCTTTTTTTTTTCGTTTTTTTTTCGCTTTTTTTCCTTCTTTTTTGTATCAGTTTCCTTAATCGACTATGCTTCATAGTCGATTAACAAAATTCTTTAATTTTTTAATTTTATTTTTTATTTTTTATTTTAATTTGTTTTAATTTTTTTTTACATGGAGCAACAATCAACGGGGTCGTAACTGTATTTGGCAAAGAATCGATCGTTTTCTTATGAATGCGGAGGCAGTCACTTCTTGCAATTTCCAAGTCACCCACCTTGCTAGAGTGGAATCGGACCATTGCCCGCTTCTCATTAAATTTAGCCAGTTAATTCCTCGAAGGTCCCGTTTTTATTTCCAGAAAATGTGGATGGACCATTGTGATTTCGATTCTTTTGTTTCTAATAGATGGATATCGGTTGGGGATATCGGCAGATATTCTTTTGAGAATAAACTAACTCGACTTCGCAAAGCCCTTACAAGATGGAACTGGGATACGTTTGGGCAGATTGACGTTAATATCTCCTCCATGCAGCGTAGGGTTGAGGAATTGGAGGCTCGTCTTTCTAATGTATGGGATGATACCGTTTTTAATGAGTGCCAAACCATCAAAGACTCCCTTAACCAACACATTAAATGGGAACGGGAACTACTTATTAGTAAAGCCAGGATCAAATGTTTTGCGGATGGAGATCGCAATACGAAATATTTTCATGCCCGGATTAAAGATCGTAGAAAAAGGAATACAATTTCACTCAAACTCCCAGATGGCACTTTCACGTCTGATGGGCGTACCATCGGGGAGATGGGGATTGCATACTACTCTGAACTTTTTAAAGCATCCGAGTATCATTTGGATCAATCTCTTTTCTCTCACGTGGAAAGCAAGGTTACGGCGGAAATGAATGAGGTGATATGTAAAATTCCGACGGAGGAAGAGGTTTTATTGGCTATCAAATCGCTTTCACCGGATAGTGCTCCAGGGCAAGACGGATTCACGGGTCATTTCTACGTCGGGTGTTGGAATATAATCAAGGACGACTTCATGCAGCTTGTGAGTGGTTATTTTCAGGGCGATTATCTCTCAAAGGGAATGACAACCACTCTTTTGGTCCTTATTCCAAAAATTGATAATCCAGAATGTTTAAATCAATATCGGCCAATCAGTTTAGGGAATTTTGCTAGTAAAGTGATTTCCAGAATCATAGCTACTAGATTGAATGCCATTCTCCCGTTAATCATATCTGTAGAGCAAACGGGTTTTCTCAAGGGCCGCAGCATTCACGAAACCATCGCCATTGCCCAAGAATTAGTTTCTGATATTGATAGGAAAGTCGAAGGTGGAAACGTGATATTTAAATTCGATATGGCTAAGGCATACGACCGACTAGAATGGAGATTCCTCCTTAAAGCATTACAATCTTTTGGCTTTTCTCATCACGTATGCGATCTCTTGTATCGATCTTTCTCCAATATATGGTACTCTATTTTAATTAATGGAACATCATATGGTCATTTCAAATCAACTAGAGGGGTTAGGCAAGGGGACCCTTTATCTCCGTTGCTTTTTATTATAGCCCAAGAGATTTTGACACTTAATATCAATCGTTCAGTGGCGCTCGCTCAACTGAAAAGATATAAAGTTCGCCGGGGATCTCTCCACATTTCGCATCTCTTTTACGCCGACGACATGCTTCTATTCACCAATGGCTGCAAATCCTCTATTATACAGTTGAGACGTATGTTTAAAAAATACGAATCATCTTCTGGTCAGCTCCTTAGTTTGGACAAAAGCGCGTTCTACACCTCCAAGAAAATTCCGGTGAACAAAATCAGTCAGCTTAGAGAGTGGAGTGGTTGCTCCCATAAATCCCTGCCGTTAAAATATCTTGGGGTCCCGATTTACAAAGGCCGATGTATGGTACAACATTTTGACTATTTAGTGCAACATGTTCAAAATCGTTTGGACGCTTGGCAAGCGAAATTACTATCCTTTGGTGGTCGTATCACCCTTCTTAAATCGGTGCTTTTTAGTTTGCCTAATCACACTTTGTCTTCTGCAGTGGTTCCCCAACAAATCCTAATTCGCATGGAACGGCTTTTTCGCAAATTCCTATGGGGAAAACAGGAGGGTCTGGGAATTAATTGGATTAGTTGGGAGAAGATTTGCCATCCTAGAGAAGAGGGCGGTCTTGGCTTTCGGTCGTTAATGGTTACGAAAAATATTTTAGCCGGAAAATTAGCTTGGAAAGCTTTGGAGGGTACAACTCTTTGGGCGCGTTTCGTCAGGGCCAAATATGGTGAGAATTTCCATAATGGCCCTCCTCTTCATTCAACTCCTCTTTGGAAGGAAGTGCATAAACACTTCGAGACTTTGGAGAATCATACTTGCTGGATTGTTGGGAAAGGTAGCGTCGATTTCTGGCGAGATAAATGGATTCAGGGGGTGACCCTCGATGAACACAAAACCATGACGTTCAAAGAGGCCAAAAGTAAACCGCAAGAATGCAGGAGTTTTCTTTCCCAGGAGCAGCAACATATCTTCGATTTGATAGAGATCAATGAGATGGAGGAGGATCGCCTTATTTTCACGAAATCGACTTCAGGAAATTTTACGGTGAGCGAATACTGGGATCTCGTTCGTCATAAAAACCCTCGAGTGAAATTTACAAAAAAGATTTGGCACCCACACATTCCGCTCAAAGTCGGGGCTTTCTTTTGGAAGCTTGCATATGGGGCTATACCCGTTGATTTGGCCCTGCAAAAACGAGGTTATCCATACCCATCCAAATGTAGGTGCTGTGAAAAACCTTCCCAAGAAAGTTTGACACACCTTTTCGCGCAATCAGACGTCGCAAGAGGGGTTTGGAAATATTACGCTGATCTGTGGCTTAAACCATGGATGTATGGTTCCATGCAACACCTGATCAAAGCTTGGACACATGACTTTAGGAGGGACACTCAAGAGGGTTTAATGGCACTTGGCATTTTAATGATAGGTTGTTGGGAAATTTGGAAAAATCGTTGTCGAGCAGTATTTGAAGATATTCCGATGA